CGCTTAATATAACAAGCCGTTCAAGCTCTATGCAGGATATCTCTATAGTCCGCTCAATAGATAGGCTCACAATATCTGTACGTTCTTTAAATTTTAAATTATTTTTAATAAGAATTAAAGAGCCGCCGTGAATAGCTTTTTCTCTGCTGAACGAACTAGCCACCTGGTGATTGTTGAAGCTAAACATGAACTGATGTTGTGATAGAAAGTGGTGTTCAGTAATACAAAGAATATCAATATTGTTACAGTTAATAAATAATTCTATTTCTAGCTCTTTGCCTTTCATGCCTTGAATATTTTGGTGCACCAGGTTTAATATAAAATTTATTTTATTCCTGTGTGTTTTAGGTTGGTTTCTTACTGTCAATGTGTTGCAAGAGTATCTCTCCGTTGTCTTATTAATTAATTTAAATAATTAGAAATTGAATTAATTTCAACAGAATTATTATTGTCAGTAAACTGACCTATGTCAACGGACTGCTCAATAGAAGCAGCCGGTCTGGTAGCCAATGATTTGGCTGAATTATTAATATAATATGATAGCATCTCTGCTATCTGTCTCCTAAAATAACTAGTAAGATAATACCTATCTTTAGTCAAATAAAAATATTTACTAATAAAATTATTAGTATCCATAAAATGAAATTTACTATAATGAAATGTCAAGCTGTGTAATGTCCTATTTAAGTTATGCCTCAAATTATTTTCACTTGTTGTGAGGCAATTGCTGAAGGGAAAAGCTAACAAAATAATTTCTTTTATATTAATTAAATTATTTAATTGTGAAAAATATTGTATTAAATCTTTTTTGTTACATTTTCCTCTTCTGCCAATTAAAATTATTAATGTAGTGTCTTTGTCAAACTTAGTTGACAAAATACTATCTAATATTTTACAGTATGTTGCACCTGGCATGCAAATATTTGTTAATTTTAATCCTAGGTGGTTAAGTTGCAAACCTATATTTTTACCCATTTCATCACTATACATAACTATATTAATCTATATTAATAAATCTGAATACACGAAGGCGGACACGACTGTTCTCATTTCTAAATCCACGATGGCGGACACGTCTTTTCGAATAAATGCAGTATGGGAATCGTTTTCGAGGTATCGAGGTGCTCATCACATATATGGCATTTATTTCTAAATCCAAGATGGCGGACACGACTTTTGAAATAAATGCAATATGGGTATCATTTTCGAGGTATTTGGGGGTGCTCATTACGAACATGGCACTCATTTCTAAATCCAAGATGGCGGGCACGATTTTTCATATAATGGCAAGTTGGGGATCGTTTTCAAGGTATTTGGGGGTGCTCATTAGGAATATAGCACTTATTTCTAAATCCAAGATGGCGGACATGACTTTTCAAATAATAGCAAGTTGGGTGTCGTTTTCGAGGTATTTGGGGGTGCTCATTAAGAACATGGCACTAATTTCTAAATCCAAGATGGCGGGCACGATTTTTCGAATAATGGCAAGTTGGGTGTTGTTTTCAAGGTATTAGGGACTGCTCATTCCGAATATAGCATATATTTCTAAATCCAAGATGGCAAAGAATTAGAAAAAGAAGAATTAGAAGTCTTGTCCTCCATCTTGTGTTCAGATATACATGCCATTTCCTTATGGTTTACCAAAAATACATTTTTGAAAATTGTTTTTAACCATCTTGGATTTAGAAATTAATGCTACATTCGTAATAAGCACTCTAAAACTCCTCGAAAACGTCTATAATTCTCAATCGTTTCTGTCCTTATGAAACCTTATTAAATACTACCCAATTCTTATTTAACTCATATATGAACAAAAATCTACAAGCGAGTTTAAGTGCGGCTATCGAATTTGAATATATAAATAGCCTGATATTATCTGTGGGTATGTTTACATGAAAAGTACACGATAACAATTAAGAACCTGAACCTGAAAGTTATTTATACACGATTTTGGAGAACTGACGATGACTTTTTAGTCAGTGTTAGTTTCCTGAAATAATTTTAGCTAAGAACTTTCGAGTCTGGCCAAGACAATTTTTTTAAATGAGTGTATGATGAACAAGAATAATGATTTTTCACATGAAACTAATGAAGGCAAATACTAAATATATTTCGTAAAAATAGCTAACGTAAATTCCCTACAATTTTGTTGCGGCGGTGTACATTTGTAGAAATTTTGCACCCGTCGCGATATTGCCTATTCTCAAAAAATTACGTAATATAATTATTTTGGAACAAAATAGCAAAATGGGGAGAAAAAACTCGTTACTTTGCAACATTTTCGTATCTTGTTGCAACGAAATTAATTTTCTGTTTTAGTGAATATTTACATAAAAATACAAGTTGAAACGCGTTACTTCCTTGTGGAATGTGATGTTAGTGTCTATTTTATATTTGTCTGATCTATTTTTAAGCCCAATTACCGCACATTTCGTCATTTTTAGCAAAAATTTTTGAGCTGCTCGCGGTGCAACTTGACCTTGAGCACTGACAGCCCGCTCGCTCGTGTAAGCCCATAGGGCGTCCTACAATTTGCCTCACTTAGCGTGTCGGGCTAGGTTTCTATGCGTTATTATTCTAAGATATCGTCTCTATCTTTGTCGTTAACGAGTAAAAAAAACGTGCGTCATTGTATCTTGTATGATATTAACAAAACTGTATGGTATACAGAACCTCATCTTCTTAAGTTTCAGAAAGCAAATTACTATTATTCCGTGATCCGTGAAAGAAAATTGTATATTTATGGTAAGAAACCGTCATTCGCCATCCTAGAAATGAACAGATTTAAAATAAAGAAAGAACACCCTTTTTCATATGCACAGCAACCAACCAATTTTCACAAAATTAGAAATGCGCTAGTGTTGACTTACATTTATTTTTAGATAAGTACTATTTTCTTTTATTTGATTTAAAACAAGAGATTATTTTTAAGCAGCCACTCGTATATTGCGTAATAAATGCCTACTTCTAGATATGACATTAGTCGGCAGAGAGACGATAAATCAATTAACAAAAGACAGATAAGTCTAGTGATTCCAAAAGTGATTTTGATTAGAACTTATCAGTAATAAAAAGTAAACTCACCCGAAAACTCAAGGCATTCCAATTCTCTTATCGAAACAATTTAAAGTTTCCCATACGAATATATTAACAAGTAATGCACTGTGTATGGGAAATCAAAAGTTGCATTTATAAATAATGCCGTGTTAAGAAGTCACGGGTTAATTAAAAACAAACCTGAATAATATTTACATACTTGCGTAACTAACAATGTGCCAACGAATAAATTAAATTTTTAGTGATATCTACATATTGCAATTATCTCAACCTTTATAGAAGTGCAACGCTAAATACTACGATTTTGAACAAGCACACAGAGACAAGTAGAGAAAGCAAAGCTTTATCGAAAACCCCCTTCTTGTTACGTATAAAAAATGTTTGACATAAGATGGGCGCTTTATTCACCACAAAGTTTCCCTTGCTCTGCTCATCACTGTACCTATACTTGGTCTAAAATCGGAGTATTCTGTATTACTGACTTATTATATAAAGGCAGCGGCATGTACATACCTACATAATTAAGTACTATTAATTATAGTGACGTAACTTTAAGAATAACCTAATTAATAGGACGACCTAGCTATACATTAACAAATAATTGTAATCACCAAAATAGTTGACTAAAATTGCCAACAGTGTAGAACCTCTAGTTATACAATATTTAATGCTAGATATTTTGAGTATTAGTTGAGATCATTTGCTGTTATAGCGTTACACAAAGATGTTGGTAGGTACACTGGTTTCGTTTTAGTAGGTTTTGATGATTATAGTAATTGAGGATAGTAAAAAAACAGTTCTTGTAGTTTATTCAGCTGTAGGTACCTAAGGTATATTTTATGTTGCTTTTAGAGGACACTTTTGTGTGTTCCATCTTTAGCTAGGTACTGAATCAAAAGCATGGACGGCGCTATGCCGCAAATGTAGATTATGGCATTGGTAAACGCGGGCGCGGATACGAATTTTTCATCGTTCAAATCTGCAGATTCGGATATGAGACAAAAACAGTATTTTTCTTTTCAAAATTTAAATAAAAAAATTTAAGTAAAAGATAATAATTCTACACAAGTTAATTAAACAGGAGATGAAAAGTAGAAGGCATGGTAATATTTCGAAATCTATAAATACGTGAAGTTTTCAAAGATGTCGTCGACTGTTCTTTACACGAATATTATTATTTCAAACGTTACATATCGGCTTCTTGAATGAAAGAGTTCCAAACACTTAACACTTGTTGAAGGAGACGGCATAATTGCTTACAAAAATCAATTTACATTCAAACAAAATTCCCAACTACCGTTAGTGTAACGTATACTCAATAATTTTTGTTTGAAAAACAAAGAGGTCGTTGCTACACTACGTGCTGCTGAATTCCTCGATTGACTAATTAGCACTGAGGGAGATGAGGTTTATAAAGCCCAGCCGGAAACAAAGCCCAGTATTAAAATATAAAGTAATTCGTACAACAGTCCAAGCACAAATAGAAATCACACATGCAATCAGCTGGCAAAATAGTTTAGGTTGCGTGTGTCGCCATTTGGTCAGTAGTGTCCAAAAATGTGTGTGCATCGTTGTGTGTAAAAACACTTTATTTTAAATAAAGGTGGGTCTTAAATACTAAATACGCGATCTGTGTGAGGCCTGCACCCGATAATCTGATCGTGACCTGCGAAACATTCGTATCCGCAAAAAATCTGAGTCGTTTGATTCGAATTCCGGATACAGAAGCAGATATTTAAAAATATGCTAATTAAGCAGGTGTCTGCGGCATCCCTAGTCAAAAATATTGACGTGATTCGTACTTAACAAAAATTTAAACTTTTTTGTTTATTTTATTTATAATATTAATCAAGTGGCTAGTATGATAAACAATGTTTACTGGAATATAGGGTTTTATACAACAGGACAAGAAAGAACGAATCGTATCGACACCGAGTATAAATTCACAAAGAAGTGTAGAGTAGAATTTTCGAGAGGGTAGTTTTAATATTTTCTGTGGTTGTGCTGGGGAAGAGAAGGAGATCGAGTAGAGACCGCGCCGCTAGGCAACAGACTGCTGGCAGGAGCAGCAATAGGCGACAAGCTCGCGCCTCTCGTCCGCTGCAGTGCCGCTGCATCGATATTAATGCTGTTTCTTGGAGAGATTCAATATGCGGCCAATATGTATCAAGAACTTCTGAAAAGAAGCCATAAATACCATATTCAGATCTATGTGTGATTGTGGATATAGATAGCACATTGATCTACTTGTATAATACACTTAAACATTTCATTGGAGACGGTTTTATTAAAATATTCACCTGTTCGAAACAAAAGCGTCGATCTTAAGTAATCGTACTCTGCCTTATCAAGTCTGCAACGCGATATTTTATCCAGCACCACGGCGAAGTTTCTCAATTCATCCTTAATGTTGGGGCGCTTCACCGACATTACGGAAGTGATATGATCTGTTATTGAGATAAATGTAGGTAAATAAAAGTCGTCCAAGGAAAGTTACTTTTGCCAGGAAGTATTCAATAAACCGTGGAAAATATTTTATCAAATGGATTAAGTACTAATGAGCAAAATTAAGGCAGATACCTTCATCAAAGTAAAAAGAATGCTGCGCCGCTGTGAGAATGAATATCTCCCTCCAATTGCCACACAGAAGAGAGCACTGTTCTGTTCTTTTCAGTTGAAGAAACGATGGCACTGTGTAAAGCCATTTCACTGCCAGCAACAGTAACTTTGCAGCCGGTTCGTACACTTCTCCAGACAATGTCCATTGCTCGTAGAAACGTTTCGAGTCGACTTGTACGCTCATAGATTTCGAGCCTTCTGATTGAACGGTTTTCTGTCTTTCCTTCATATATTCCGTAAACACATCGTCTTTGTACTGAGTTTCCTGGATTTTTTCAGAATTTCTTGATACTATGTGCGCTGGATGGCCAAATTTTGTTGGAGAATCTAAATTTATAAAACTTAGTTGTAAAAAATATTACAGAACAAAACAAGTTGTTTATTACAAATTAAGTAATATGCAACCACGAAAATAATTTAGTTCGCTCACCCTCTCTCTGTATGTAATTAGAAACGGAGTCTGATTTGAAGGCTTCTTCGGAACTTGAAACCTCGTCTTCTTTTAGTTTGTCTGAGTGCTGCGAGTCAGGTTTGTCGGCTACGTCTACGTGAAGAGGCCGGTCGAGTTTTGGAGACGACATGGTTTCTGATTACAGAAAACAAGGCAACATAATAAAGGAAACCGTAGGAAACGTGTACATTATAAAAACTGATTACCTAGACATTGTTCGTATCTACTGAAAGTTTTAGGAAGTCGTGCTATAAAGGTAAATAAAATATACCTAGCTCAAGCTGTAAGCTTAAACACTTATAAGTTAAAAGTATTTGGATTTCCGCGTACTTACTGCATGTTTGCTCGGTGGGAGCCGTAGTGTCGCTGGAAATGACGGGCGGGTAGAACACGTTGGGTGGAAAGTAGCTGGGGTGCGGAACTGGGTATTGCAGCGGGCTCGACAGCAGGGAGATCTTGAAAGGATTCAACGAACCCAGCGAGCCCACTTGAAGCGAATTTAGGTGCGAAATATCCGACGTGGATATTGACTCAGGCAGTCTCGAAAAATCCTGGAAACTTTCTAGGAAGGGATTGTGTGTGACTGTGTCCGGCGTGCGGAGGTTATAACTATGTAATGGGGGAAACACGGAGAAGGTAAGTGGCGTATGAGTGGGGAATAGCGAGTGTGATCGAGAGATTGGATAGCCGAACTTATGCAGGGCCATCTGGGGAGCCGAGACGCCCGGACGCGGTGCGCGTTCGTGCTGCACCGCTATAACAATTTAAAATATATTCGTAAACTTACTTCCTATTTAATTCACTTTAGACGTTTAATAGTTTTTATTAGAAAAGAAGTTCAAATATAAGGTATTACAATAAAAGCTTAAACGCTAAAATGTAAAACTAGTATTGAATTGTATTGATTTTAATATTATTATAGTAAATATTATTGAAGACGTCAAGACAAATGGTACAAATAATAAGAAAGCATCATCGCATTCGTAAAGTTGGCAACAATTTTGATAAATCGCAACTAAATGATTGCTGAACTAGACTCTACATTAGGTACAAGTGTTGTACAAAAGAGGCGTCAGCGAGGGCAAAAAGGTCGTAGGGCGAGAACAATTTGTTATGTAAATAAATATCTGTGTGAATCGCGGCTGCGGTTGACACCTCGAGTGTTTGACTTCGCACCCTCCACATAGTAAGGTCAAGATGCGCGTATAAAGTTAGTTAACGTTTACTCCGTTACGTTAGCAAAAAAGTAGGTATGTGTTTTAATTTAACGGGTATAATAATTAAAAGATACTTGAGACACGAACTAAGCTTTGTTTCGATGTTGTAACGTAATCGCAAAACAGTAGATAAATAAGTAGATATAATCGAGCATAGATACCGTGTGAACGATGGTGTTCAAGTCAGAAAGCGGTGATCGTATCAACGATAGAAATAAGATATAAAGCGCGTGAATTTTTCCCGCTCGGCAGCCGCAAACACTTGAGATGTCCCCTAATGGAAAAGACATGCTGCAAAGTGGAGGACAGTGGATAAATACTTTATTGAGGCAATGCTTTCTTCATAGATATGTAGGTATTGATTGCTCCGTTTCTCTAAAATGCTTAATTTAATATTCCAAAATAAATCATCATTTCAGAAGCTTGATATTACAAAAAATATATTAACTTTTTGCTCAAAATGAACGTAACCCTTTGAGTAAGGTAAATGTTCCAGTGGTTGACACTGTCCCAATGTAACACACTTTTGCATTTTTTCTCAAAAAATAAGAAAACAAACATTGATATTACTCCAAAACCGTGTTAAATGTACTTGTAACGACATCTATGAATTTAATTTAAAAGCATTCATCGATTCATTCAATAATTTTTGAATATGGCGAAAGTTTGCGAGCAGGTGATCGGAGTGTAACGTGCGTCGCTCTTGTTATAGAAATCGTTAAGACTTTGAGTAGCTCAAGTGAATTTATCAGGCGGAATATTATTAATTACCGGTAAGTGTTTATAAAAACTATTAGATAACTGTAAAAACAATTAATTTTGTGTGTATTTATTGATGTATATCGTTTATATTTTATTTTAGAGGCATGTCAAACACTGGTGCAAAATTTTAATGTTTACTAGTAGTTGACACCCATGTCAAGCACTCCTATACATGAATTTTTTTTCAAACTTAATTTCGACCATTTGGTACGGACGGAGAACATAAGTTTAGATTACTCTGTTAGTGACAAGTTTCTATGGGTAGTTCGAGTAGTGTTTGACATGGGTATCAAAAACTGTTTTACTACGGGGACCCAATAATTGACAGTTGTATATTGAGGTGTCAAGCACTACGGGTATTGTTCAATGTAAAAATGCCACTAAGGCTGTCGCCTTATTCTGATGATGACGTATTGAAGGCGGTACACGAAGTATCAAGATGAATTCCTATCGCAGCAGCTGCGAGAAAATATGGGATATCGCGGATTATTTTACTGTATAAAATTTTACTAACTTAAAATTTCATTAAATTTATATCAACATTTTAGTAACTCATTTTTATTTGAAATTTGGCATAGAGACTCTAGGTGAAGTACGCATTATTTTGGGTCCTTTAATATAACTACACCTTTTTGTTACATCCGTATATTTTCTATTTCTAGTTTATATTTTGTATGTTTTTGCACGCACTTACTCACCTTGATTACAAAGGTAAGTAAGTATTTATTAATTTTAATAAAAGCTTCTCGATTGATTATGGTTTTTCTTATTTTTTAAATTTATTGTTATCAAGTGATTAATGCAGTTAAATAACTATGAAATCTTATATAACGTCTTGTCCTGTATAATGTCCTGTGTACTCCGATCTCACTATACCATAGTCAACTATTGGGACATTAGAAATTTTGCCTGTCATACACTGGTACAATTTCAGAGGTATCGGAAAACTGGAATATATTAATAATGCCTGTGATTATTATAAATTTTATAGTTCCTATAAGATAAATGACACCGTTTAATATGTTAACATACCTAAGTAGTCAGTATGACTGATAATTAAGTACTTTTTTGGCAAAATACGTGATTTTCCGTCTAAAAGCGTCAACCACTGGAACATTTACCTTACAACGTAAATATTAGGGAAATATGTTTTTCTTTGTTATTCGTTTGTTTGGTGTCCTAAACATATTAACTTACATAACGGCATGCATTTTTTCTTAATATGATTAACTCTATTTTCCGATGATTAAGATTTATTAAATATTCAAATGTTTAATAAGCCGAACATATTTCATAAAGTCGGGAATCCCATATTATTATTTTTATTTCTTATTTTTATATCTTACCATCTTTCTTCATGTTCACTTTGAGGCACTTGGAGAAGCGGCAAGCTTGGCATTGGTTGCGTCGCGTCACGTCAACCACGCATCTTCCATTCTCCTTGCAGACGTAGTCCAGATTACTGTTACAATGGTTTGAAGTAAATAACATCGGTAATTCATCATAATAATACACCTAATCTGGTCTCCATTCTTGGCAAAGGCATTGTGAGATGTTGTAGTTTAGTTACATTTAAGAGCAGTTACACACAGCTAGTTTTAACAGCAATGCAAAAGCGATGTAAGCAAGATGCAAACGCGATGCACTAGCTAATCGTCTACCTTTACACATACGCGCGATTTTAAGCAGCTACGCAAGCGCCCGACTGCATCGATATAAACACGCGATTGCATCGCTACACTTGGGATTTATAGGCGATTGCATCGCGAATTTCTATCGACGTAGTCGCGCGTTTACATCGATGCTAAAAGAAGTCGTGTATAACTACCCTAAGTCTAGTTACAAATAAACCTTTTTGCAAAACCGTCTCTCACTCGTAGCGAATACAATAAAGTGCCTTTTTGTGTTATAGTTTTATACCGTCTAATACTCCGCTTGAAGAAGCCTCGACAACCGTCGCAAGATGGCACGCCGTAATGCTTGCCCGAGGCTTTGTCGCCGCAGACCCGACACAGCGACTCTGGCTTACCGCCTCCGCCGTGCGCCTCCATGACGCTCTTTCTAACCGGCTTCAAAAAGGAGAGATTTATTTTTAGCTAATTAAAGAGCTGGTATTTATGCAGGGTGTCCCACTGTCCCCAATTTCATGATCTTCCTTTTATTTGAGACGCTATGTTATTTAGAAGAAAACAATCCTTATGGCTTTTAATCAGTACAGTAAAAGTACAAGTGTTTTTTTTCACATTTGGCGATTCGATTCCAGGCGTCAGACTGGCGATTATTTATAATTATGAATAAAGTTCGAAATGAAATCAAAATGAAGTCTTCTTTATGTAAAATTTTCTATCTAAGGTATTTAAGGTACTTGCCCTCAGTGTGGCATAGCCGTGAGACACCCTATATAGCGTACAAACTGGCAATTACATAGAACTCATCTCGCGGTGCATTCGCATTGCATATCGCCAGACGTCATACTCGCCATTAATGATAGAATTGTAGAAGTGTTTATTGTTGTGTTTGTGGTAGTTATAACAAGAGTTCCTCAAATTTAGAATTGTTCAGCTTTTCATACCAATCCGCGATCCTGGTAATAAACATATCAATAGAGAAACGAATATAAGTAAGTACTTACTGCATGTTTTTTTTATGATATCAAGTGACGGGACTTGTCCATAGCAGCTGCAGTACCACTCAGAGCTTTAGATCACAAATATCTGAGGGGCGCTGCCACTGCACCCGTCACCCAGAGACATAAGTTGACAAGACCTTTGTGCTTGTTTCACTAGTACCCTTACCCTTCAAAGCCGGAACGCAGTAAAGCTCACATTACTGCTTGGCGGGATTAATAGGTAAAGTGGCAGTACTGGACGAACTCTCTCACGAGGAGCTCTACTGCTACTTCTAGTATAACTACCACTCATTAATGGTTATTTACCCGAGAACCAAAGTAAATAATAATAACATTATTCTGCGAATATACTGTAAAATGCATTATTACATTGTTATTCATAATAATTAATTTAAAAAAATGCGTAATAATCATTTACGTTTGCGGTGCAAACAAATCTATAACATCACAAATGCGTTTCTTGCCGTGGGATATAACATCGTGTCTGTTATTCTGTCTCTGCCTGCCCTGTAATATGTAATAATTCAGACACAGCAGTGTTGTCTTTCACCCATCATCATAAAAAAGAATCATCAAAATCGGTTTACAAATGCCACCGAAGTTATCGCGTAACATAGATACAAAAATATATATATAGTCGAATTGAGAACCTCCTCCTGTTTTGAAGTCGGTTAAAAAACATTAGATGCAATCGCGAAATTTTCTATTTGAACATCTATTCTAACCCTGTCCTATACCTGTGTTGTAGCCGATTGAATGTTATCTACGCTGCTGCGTCCCAACACACGTGAGAATTTAACAATTAAATACAACTCAGCGTTTTCAGGCGGCCCACGGACTGATGTTGTACAAAAATTGTTAAAAATATGCGCATACGAATTATTTGCTACAATAGCTCAATCATATTTCGCCTCAGCTCCGTGTCACGCTTACACCCTAACATAAATGTAAGAAAATTACTGTAAAAGTGAGTTTGAAAGGAATCACCTCGTCATCGTATCAATAAACGATTGATTATTCAAATGGGGAGGGGCACGCGCCACATGGCTACGTAACTCTTTCACGTCGACGGATAATGACAGTTTGATTAGAGTTGTGGTCACATACCAAAAGCTTGAAAATATAATATATACCTTTTTTTATTTAGGTAAGCAGTTATTTAGGACACCATGTTGGTTTCATACATTTACGGAACATTTACATGTACGGAATGTAAATGTAAATGTCGAAGCCAACACGTAGTGCCGCGGAGATTTTGTATATACATGTTTGGTTAGGTAGTATCATGATTCATCTGTCTGGATTTTATTAAGAGATTCTTGAGGTATGGTTTTTCTAATGGGGCTGACATGTTTAATAATGATCAATGCCTCTAAATAAATAAAGATTTTTTAAAAAAAAAGGACTCTACGTCGCAAAGGAATGGTATTTAGGCCAAAGTATTTTTTTATGATACAAACGGGACTAATAAATCCTGTGCGTGGTAGTAAGCGACACGCCTGTCGATAACTGTTGCAGTGCCACTCAGAGCGTTGGATAGCAAAGATCTAAGGGACACTGTTCCTGCGCCCGTCACCCTGAGACACAAGTTGTAAAGTCCCAAGTGCCTGTAATTTCACCAGCATATTTCCCCTACAAAATTGAAACGTAGTTACGGTCACATTACTGCTTGGCGGCAGTAATAGGTAAGTACTTCCCTGGGCGAACTCTTTCACAAAGGAACTCTACTCCTTCTACTAATATAACTATCACTCTTTAATGGTTATTTACCCGAGAACCAAAGTAAATAATAATAATATTTTTTGCGAATTTACTGTAAAATATATTATTATATAGGTCAATTTTGTTAGTCATATTCGATGCAACACCTTGACGCGCCAATCAGAAAGGACTCATCAAAATTAAATAGCGTGTTAGTGAAGTTAGTAAGCTAGACTATCATAGAAAAGACTGAAAATTACAATTATACAATTGGCTACAGTTCTTCAATTTACATACGTAAATACATACTAGAGCACTGCTCTAATTATGTTTAAAGGTAGTTAGTTACCCTTATGACGAATCGTGTATTAAGCTATAAGCACCATACAGTCATTAACTGTTACATTCTTGTATAAGCTGTGGTTGTTGTAATTTCAGGGTTCTTTGAAGGGGGTGAGGGAAGGAGTCAGGGGTAACTTTAACAGCGGGTGGGCGGTTTCCCACGGGGGAGTGTTCCAGCCATTATCTCAAATTATGATGGTTCGCATTGACAAGTGCGTGGCGTGGTGGCTTGCCAGTCGGCACACTGTGCGACACGTATCTGTCTCAATTAATGAATACTTACGTTACTGCCCAAGGATAACATTTCATAAGTCTTAAACTTATTTTATTTACAAATTGTCTATTTGTTGCATATATTTAGTTCTCTACAGATGGTTTAAGAATAAATAAATTGGTTTAAGAAATTGTTCTGAAAGCATGAATTATAATTAAAGCTCTAAGTGGCACTGAAACAGGCGTGCCGATTATTATGAGGCGCACGACTTGTTCTTCACTTAGTAGGCAAATAATAAAAAAAGTCCATGTGTGACTACTTTTTAATCCTTAAAAAATAACGCGCAGTTGCAGCAAATTTCCCTACAGGAGAAGAACCTTCATCATCGAGCAACAATATCAATAGTAACTACTCAAAGCATAAAATTATTAAAAGCGATCTTCAGTCGGTTAGGATTCCCTTCATCAATTAGGGTAAGGTTGCGTTAGTCGTACCACCGCCTAAGTCGTACTCCAGCGATATCTGCTCTCACATGCGTGGGAAGTAATATCTAGTACCTAACATAAATTTGAACTATTAAATTAAGCGAGTAAACATAAGCAAACGGCGGCCGGCCAACGTTCGTGTTGGGAAAAATATGAAAAAGTAAGTTTTTGCACTGCTTTCTTTAAAATTTCTCATTCATTCGGCAGCTATTCCAAGGAAGAATATGGTGGTAAACTTACTTTTTTGGTATTTGTCTATTTTTGACGTATTTTAGCATTCATTTAAGCCCAAGCAAATGGTAGATTTTTTTTGTGTTATAACAGTAATTTTGATTTGAAATTTTCAGGGTGTCGTTGCTTAAGTACCCGTCGAAAATTACGTACGACTAATTTATGAAAATTATTTCTTACTTTTTTTCAGCTAAATAATATATTTGTGTTCAACAAAACTAATTTTGTAGTGCCTTTATTATATAATATGCCTTTATTTGATTACCGAAGCATGTATAATTTTATTTCGATAGAATTTGTCAGTTCATTTCAGGAGAATTTTAATTTTATTTAATTAAAATTTACAATTTTCTTTCAGAAAAATTTACTTATAATTTTATTTCATTACAATTTATAATTGTATTTCCTAAGAGTTTAAAACTTTTGTTTTCTGTGTTCCCCCTTGCACATAAGATTTTGGTATTGTTCTCTCCCTTCAAAAATATTAAGAATTATTTGATTTTAACCACCTTAATACCTGTTTCTAGATTTAAATTGTTATTATGATCTCTTTTTATTAGTACTGTACTATACAGTTTATGATGTCCTGACTGAAATGTTAATCTCAGTACGACTTAGGTTATAGGAGGTACGAATTAGGCGACCAGGTGCCTAAACCGTTCCAAAGGTGCTTTTTTGAAAATCTTGTCAATACCTGACTCAATAAAGGTTTTTTTGTATTTTCTTTAAAACATATTGATAGTAAAATAAATAAAGATCCCGTAGACGCTAACGGTTTTGTTTAATTTAAATAACCTTAAATAATACAGCGGTTTTTTCTTAGGCGGTACGACTAACGCAACCTTACCCTACAGCGGAAAATATCGTCAGTTTGTCAATATCGAACTTAAAGAATATTGCCGAGTATGCAACACTGGCCTCAACAAGATGTCTCTAAGAAATATTATTTAATACTATGCTACAATTTAGTCGAATAATTAAATAATAATTGCCTCCGAAATTAGGTAGAGAAAACTACACCTGAAAATTACCCAATCAAGTAATAAGATCTGTACTCATACAGACAGATCGAGATGAGGCGTGATCGTGTATAAATAAAAGCAAAGCAAGCGGTGCGCTCCAAGCCTATTGTCCCGAAATAGTAACATTATAAAATAACCAGAGAACCCAATTATCACTCCAAAAAAAACAATTGCATTTTCTAAAACAATGTTATATTTTTTTTGTTTCATTGGGCAAAAATAGAATCAGTCCACTAAACATCGAAAGACGCTCCCCAAACAATTATGGCAGAAAATTCGTTTTGTGGTAACGTTTAAAATTTTATTATAATCAAATGTAGTTTTTGTATACCTACTTAGGCAGTTACAAGAACTATAATAATATAAAATATTACCTAATTAAAATAATTAGGTAAAATACCTAAATCTTGTTGAAAACGGGCTCGGTTTAGCCTAGGTAATAA